GTTTCGAGCAGTTTTAATTCAACGTTTCGAACCGATCAATTCCAGTTACAAGGCGCGGCAGCAGATTCATCGGCATAAACAGTACGGCAGTGTAACACAGTACACGCAGCAGATGGAGAGCCTCTTCAACCGAATTACGGATCTGACCGAGGGGGAGAAAATTCAAGCGTATACTGAGGGGCTAAAAATGGAAGTCCGCCGACAGGTGATTGCCGCGAACTACAGCAACTACCGCGACATGGTGTGTGTAGCAGAAAGATTCGATGCGCTGACACGAGGTCAACCCGAGACACGACGCCACGTGCCGAACAGATCATTCGACACGAAGCGATCGGCACCATCGACGACCGCCAACCCGATGGATATCGACAAGATCAACGTGAAGAAGCGGCCGACAATAAATGAGAAATGCGAATTTCACGGCACAGCGGGACATCGATTCTTGGCGTGTTGGAAAATGAAGAAGGCACGAGCAGAGCTGCAGGGCAACAGCAGTGTGGCACCCCCGAAAAAAAGGAGAACATGATGGCGCGAATTTAAAACGTCACGACCGGCCGGCAACAGTGGAAATCGCCGAGACAAATGGAGGCTCCGCGAAACAAGACTCTGCACCGACCGGGAAACTCCAGCCGAACACCCACGAAAGTAAGAATTTGTTAAAGTTATCCTATAAATTACTTTAACTAAGAATATTACTTCTCGTGATTTTCAAGCCTTCAGGGGAGATTTAGAGGCTGAGAACAAGCCCTCAGAGATTATTCAGGTACCTGAGAAGTTGGGCAAACCACTCCGGAGCGTTGAAAAGGGTCGTGCGTTCCAAGGAGTTAATATTCTCTCCCCGCAGCATAGTGTTAATGTCAGAATCAATGAAGCAGGAATGAACGAACTAGCAGAAAGTTGGGAACAAGTAGGAAACCCTAAGTTTGTGTACCCCCTAAGGTCAAACCCACTACAGCCTACACAACTTAAACATGCAATGTTTGACACACCCCCATAGGCGCAGTGGGAGACAACCAGAGGGTCACGAGACCAGTCAAAGCAAAGCAAAAACAAGCTCAGGGTGGATCTCAAGGATACCACACAAATTCCGAGCACAAGCAAGCGGTCACAAGACCAGTTCACATGCAGTTTAATAATATAATAAGAGCTACAGTGATCACAACCTAGCAAGTGTAAACATGCAGGTATATATATAGAGATCACAGTACAAGCAGGGTCAAGAAGTAAGCAAGTGAGGTCCAGCAGGCACAAGGCCTAGAAGAGTACAGAAGCGCTGATGGTCACAAGGCTGAAGCGCCTTGGTGAACACATCAGCAGTGTTGGCCCGAGTGGCCACGTAACGCAGACGAAGCTGACCGCGCTGCTGCAGCTCTCGAGCAAGGAAGTAGCGCAGAGCGATGTGCTTCGTTCTGTGCTCCAGTCTGTGCTCCTCACACAAGGCAATGGCAGCCTTGTTGTCGACGTACAGCACTGGAGGAGAACGAGGCCGCTCTCCCAAGTCGGTCAGCAGGTAGGTGAGCCAGCGTAGCTCCTGGGCTGCCATGGCTGTGGCGTAGATCTCAGCCTCACAACTGGAGCTGAGGACAGAAGAAGAGCGTGTAGAACGCCAAGAAACTGAGCCAGAGCCAAGACTGAAGGTGTAACCCTGAGACGACCGCTGAGTAGCCTGGTCGTCCGCCCAAGAAGCGTCTGAGTGCCCAGTGAGTACAACTCGGTCTCGCCCTCCAAGCACTAGCCCCATGCCCGACGTACTACACAAGTAACGCAACACCCTCTTAGCGGCATCCATGTGCTCCTTCTTGTGACGGCCAGGAGCAACATAGCGTGCAAGGATGCTAAGAGGGTATGCAAGGTCAGGTCGAGTGCAGGTCATCAGGTACATGAGGCAGCCCACAAGCTCTGGATACGGGCCACTCGGCTCTACGGACTCATCCGAAGGCAGAGCTGAGAGCGAGTGACCGGTAGGCAGAGGAGTGGGCTGAGGCGAGGAGTACGTGAAGCCGAAGCGCTGAAGGACCTGCTGCACCATGTGTGACTGAGTCAAGGTGATGGTGCGCCGTGCTCTGTCCTGGGTGATCCGCAAGCCAAGATAGCTTGTCAGTTCACCCAGGTCTGTGCACGTGTGTCTCTTCTGCAGCTCCGACTTCACGTGGGCGAGTGCCGTAGTGTCAGCAGTGGCAAAGACCAAGTCGTCGACGTACACGAGGATGTGGAACGGCGGCAGCGAGGTGTCGGTGCGTAGAAACAGCGACGGGTCAGCAGTAGAAGGAGCGAACCCAAGAGCCGCAAGTGTCGTCCTCAGTGTGTCGTGCCACTCACGTGGCGCCTGGCGGAGACCGTAGACCGGCCGCCGGAGGCTCCACTGGGTACCAGGAGGAAACGACCCAGTGAAGCCAGGAGGGCGGCACAGCCAGATCTCCTCGTGCAGAAGTCAAGTGAGTGAAGCTCATAGTCGCGCTGAGCGGCTATGTGCAGCAGCACCCGAAGAGTGGTCATCTTCGGGGTGGGTGAGAAGGTCTGGAAGAAGTCTACTCCCTCGCGCTGACTGAAGCCTCGAGCAACGTAACGCGCCTTGAAGACAGGAGGAGAACCCGGCAGCCGCTTCACCCTGAAAATCCACATGCCACTGACGATGTTCGCCCCAGGTGGGGGAACCTCGTCGACGTAGGTGCCTGTGGACTTCCAGGAAGCCGACTGCCTGCGTCCATGGCTGTCTGCCACTGAGAGGAGTAGGGACCCTCCATCGCCTCTGCGTAAGAGCGCGGAGTCGGGATGTCTGGTGCATCCGGGTCTCCCTCAGGGGCAACTAGCATGGACACGAGATGGGGCAAAGCAGCAGCAAAGCACTGGAACTCCTCCTGCCTGTCCTCAAGGACGTCCGTGCCAAGAGCACACTCACCCCCGACGGACGGAAGACAGACAGACTCAGACTCAGCAACAAGGCTAGCGGCGTAGTCTAGACGACACGTGGCAGCAAAGTCAACCAACTCAGCGACCAGAGCAGACGCAGCAGAGGACTCAAAGGTAGGGTCAGTGACAACAGTGGCGAGGAGACGCGTGACAGTAGGACGGGCAGCACGAATGGAGTCATACTCCAGGTCAGAAAGAGTAGGAAGAGAGGACGCAGGAGGAGACGGCAGAGGGACACGCTGAGGAGCAGTGGAGGGACGCAGAGTCATGTAGTGAGTGCCAGGGACAGGAGGAGGACGCTCACGCGGGACACGACGACCAGTGCGAGCAGCACGAACAGGCGACGTAGAGCGAGACGCAGGCGACACAGGACGAGACTCAGGCTCACGACGCTCCGTAAGACCTCCTGTGGGACCAGTGTAAGGAGAAGGACCAGGGAGAGGCGAGGCAGGCGGTAACTGTGACTGCGACTGGACAGGCGGAGGACACTCTAAGGAGGGAGGAGGACAAGGAGGAGGAGTCTGACCAAGAACCTGCTGAAGGAGCGGCACGAAGTACGGTCGCGGCCGCGCAGCGTCTCCAGAACCAGCAGAGACACCAGTGCCAGGGTCCTCAGCACCAGCAGCAGCTCCAACTCCCGGGTCCTCAGCACCAGCCCCAGCTCCAACTCCAGGGTCCACAGCACCAGGCCCAGCTCCAACTCCAGGGTCCGCAGCACCAGCAGCAGCTCCAACTCCAGGGTCCGCAGCACCAGCAGCACCTCCAGCAGCACCAGCAATACCACCTGTAGCACCAGCAGCACCGCCAGCAGCAGCAGCACTTGCAGCTCTAGGGTCCGCGACACCAGGAGCGCCACTTTGAAGACTGCAGCGCCGCGTGTACCACTCTCGGATCCGCTGAAGGGAGGGCAGCTCCCGTCTAGGAGGGGAAGAACTAGGACCAGCTCCAGCAGCACTCCTGGCTCCAGAAGCACCTCTCCTGAGGCTGCAGTACTGTAAGTACCTCTCCTGCAGCTGCTGTGAGGAGAGGGCTCCTCCAGGTGTAGCACTCCCAGGCTCAGCACCTCCAGACTCAGCACCCCCAGACTCAGTACCCCCAGACTCCGCACCCCCAGGCTCAGCACCTCCAGGCTCAGCACCCCCAGACTCCGCAACCCCAGGCTCAGCACCCCCAGGCTCAGCACCCCCAGACTCCGCAACCTGAGGCTCAGCACCCCCAGGCTCCGCACCCCCAGGCTCCGCACGCTCAGACTCAGCACCCCTAGCAGGACGAGAGTCGACAGCTACCTCGACAGGCTCAACCGGGTCTACCTGGGACACACCTGAGGGAGCGGCACCCTGAGGGGGGAGGGGGTCTAGCACAGCAGCACCTGGAGCGAGGAAGAGAGGCGGGGGGGGAGCGGGGCAGTGCGGTAGGGGAAGAGGCGGTAGTAGGGGACAGACTCGTCAAAAGTGACGTCCTGAGAGGGCAGGACACGGCGCGAGGTGGCGTGGTAAAACTGCCAACCAGACGCGTCCGGGACAAAGCCAAGGAAGACACAAGGAACAGCGCGGGAGGAGAGCTTGTCCGCGGACGTATCGCGAACAAAAGCTCGAGATCCCCAGACCCGAAAACGCGACGCATCGCCAACCTCTCCCGTCCAACGCAGTGTCGGGGAAGTCTCCGGCAAGGAGACACGGGGCCAGAGGTTGAGCTGATGCGCAGCGTATCGGACTGCAAACGGCCACAGAAAGTGGGGGGCAGCCGCATGGATCAAGGAGGTACGAGCGACCTCCATGACCAAGCCAATGCGGCGCTCAGCAACCCCATTCTGCTGTGGAGAGGCCGGAAGCGTGAACGACTGCTCAATGCCGTGCTCCGCACAGTAGGCTGCCAAGAGGTCGGAGGAGAACTCACCACCTCTGTCAGAGTGCAAACGCAGGACAGGAAAGTCCGAGTGGAAACGCTCGCTGAGCTGGAGACGAGAAGCGCGGATCCAAGGGATCAAGACATCAGGAACCTCACCCTTGGTGCGAAAGGGGAAGACCGTGGTGTGCGCCCTCCCACACGTCTGACCAGTGCGGTCACCAGTGCGGATGACGTACGTGCAGCTAAGCCCACCCCCCCCCCCCCCCGTGCAGAGAGTACCACTCACTGGCCTCCTGGGGTGACGGAGTGTGCTGCTGGCTCTGGCCACTGCCAGCGCCTCCACGACCACCACCGCCGCCGCCACCTCCTCGACCACCCCCTCCCCTGCCGCCGCCGCGACCACTGCCGCCCCCACCACCGCCCCCGCCCCTGCCACCTCCCCCGCCGCTGCCGCCACCACCCCCACCGCTGCCACTAGTCCCTCCAGCCCCACCACCACCCCCACCGCCGCCACCGCCTCCTCCACCGCCTCCCTCGCCGTCACCTCCGCCTCCCTTGCCCCCTTTGCCCCTGCGGCGCCAGTTCGAAGCGAACGCAGTCCCGACCTTCTCAGCACCAAGGAGGTCGACAGTAGCAGCAGAGGCGACAGAGGGAAGAAGGGGGGAAGGGGAACACCCCTCAAAGAAAGGGGTGCGGGGGTCGCCACGAGAGGCACCTACAGCGACTATGCTAGCCTCAGCTGCAAGTAGTTCCTTCTCGAGGAGGGCAATGGTGAGCTCAGTGGGGCAGCGAGCTAGGAAGTGATCCCTGACTGCACGCAGAGAGTCAGGGAGGCGGGTGACTAGGTGGTAGAGAGTGAGCCAGAGCGGGGGGGGGGGTTCTTAGCAAGGAACTCATCAGGCAAAGCGGCACGGAAGCGGGCCTCACTAGTACGGAGGTGCGTGATGAGGTCAGCAACTGTGTGAAAAGAGGCCAGGTCGGGGAACAGGTAGGGGAGTGAGAGACGGCCTAGTGCGGCAGAGGCAGGTGAGGAGTAGCGGGCAACGACAGCAGTGTACAGTTCCTTAGCAGTCTTGTGCTGGCCAAAGTGCTCGCGCTCATCTATCGGCAGGGAGTTGCGAATAGCAAAGCGAGCGTGGGCGTCACGAGTCTGCCACTGTGAGCGGGCAGCGCTGTCAGCAGTAGCAGCAGGGGCAGTAGCATGGCCTAGGGCGTGATCGTACAGTGAGATGTCCTCCTTGGCAGTGAGCTGTAGGAAGAGGTGCAGGTCATCTAGCCAGGTGTCAAACTTCACTGGGCGGCCCTCAGCATCGAAAGCTAGCACAGGAGGGCTAGCCATAGTAGCAGTAGGAGCAGTAGTAGTAGCAGTAGGTGCACCCTAACAGCAGTAGGCAGCGCGACTCAGGTAGGGCGGCTCGGTCCAGAGAGGCTGTTCAGTACGGGCGGCGCGGCTCGGTTCAGGTAGGGCGGCGCGGCTCGGTTAGGGCGGCGCGGCTCGGTTCGGGCTGCGTGGCTCGGTTCGGGCGGCCTGGTTCTGGCGGGGCCGTGGCTGTCGCGTGCGGGGCGGTAAGGGGCAGCGGGTGGGGTCGACGGGGCCGCTAAGGGAGGCGCGCGGGGACGACGGGGCCAATTGGGCCTCTAAGGGGCGGCGCGCGGGGTCGACGGGGCCTCTAAGGGATGGCGCGCGGGGTCGACGGGGCCATCGGGGCCTCGAGGCGGGGCGCACGCGGGGTCGACGGGGCCAGCGGGGCCTCTAAGCGGGGCGCACACGGGGTCGACGGGGCCAGTGGGGCCTCTAGGCGGGGCGCACGCGGGGTCGACGGGGCCAGCGGGGCCTCTGGGTGGGTTGCTCGCGGGGTCAACGGGGCCAACGGGGCCTCTAAGGGGCGGCGCGCGGGGTCGACGGGGCCTTAAGGGGCGGCGTGCGGGTCGCTAAGGGGCGGCGCGCGGGGTCGACGGGGCCTTAAGGGGCCGTTAAAGAGAGGCGCACGAGGGCGCTGGGGGGGGAGGCGCTAGGGAGCGCTCCGACAGTAGGGCGCACGAAGGCGCTAGTAGGCAGTCAGTAGTGGTGGGCCCTAAAAATAGGTCCTAGCGAAGGACCTGCTCTGAAACCATGTCAGAATGAATAAAGCAGGAATGAACGAACTAGCAGAAAGTTGGGAACAAGTAGGAAACCCTAAGTTTGTGTACCCCCTAAGGTCAAACCCACTACAGCCTACACAACTTAAACATGCAATGTTTGACAGTTAAGGCTCCCCATTGCCCACAAGAGATGCCTACACAGGTGCAACGGCTTAGGGGAAGATTCCAGGCCAAGACGAAGCTGAATCAGCCTCGGATAAATCCTTCTAACCCTGCTCAGTTGGAAACTGATATTGAGACAACAACTTCGAGCACAAGACCTAGGGATGACCTATTCGACGTACCCTATGATCCTGTAAGCGAGACCATCTACGGCTACTCGGAGCGGCAGCAGCCACTAAACCTCGAGGTGATCTGCAACGGGCGACGCCTCGAAGCTCTGGTGGAGAGCGGTGCGTCCCATTCGATGTGTGACCGCGGGACGTTGGAGAAAATTGGAGAGAAGGCGGAGGAGACCCGATTTACTGCAACAATGGTGGACGGTACGAAGCTTCCCATCCACGGCGAAGCATCATTGCAGCTGCATATAGGTGCGTTACGATGGAAGCCGACGTTGCCGATCACGAACATCAAGGGTTTAGATTTCATCTTGGGGCGAGATTTTCTGAAGCGGTTCAACCCCGAGATCGATTGGGTCAATCGGAAGGCGTGCATCTACAACAACGGGAAACGAGTGGAGTTACGAAGCTGGACGGATACAAGGGATGTTCCTGAAACGACACTGGCATGGCTCGAACGGACGGTGAACGAGAGTAACATGGGTTACTTAGCACTGGTCATGGCAGCAGCAGAGGAGGAGAAGCCGAGTTCCGAGCTACCTGCAGCAGTAAAGGAGGTCTTGGAGCAGTACAAGGATATAATGCCCGACGACCTACCCGCAGGCGTACCTCCAGCACGCACCCATGAGCACGAGATCGTGGAGGAACCAGGTGCGAAACCCGTCTCACATGCACCATACCGACTGAGTCCGACAGAACTGACAGACATGAAGAAGCAGATAGAGTATCTACTGGACAGACAACTGATCCGCCCATCCACCTCTCCCTACGGTGCACCAGTTCTCTTCACTCCAAAGCCAGACGGTAGTTAACAAATGTGCATCGACTACCGAGCACTTAACAAACAGACAGTTCAAAACAAATATCCCATACCGCGCATAGACGACTTACTGGACCAACTGCGTGGTGCAACAGTATTCTCGAAGCTGGACCTACGGTCGGGTTACTGGCAGATCAAGATGGCGAACAACTCGATCCACAAGACGGCGTTCTGTACCAGATACGACTCCTACGGGTACTTAGTGATGTCGTTCGGACTATGCAATGCACCGGCGACATTCCAGGCGGAGATGAACCACATCCTACGGCCCCTGCTGGACGAGTGCGTGATAGTTTACCTGGACAACATACTGAGCTACTCCAAAACCATGAAGGAGCACGTGGAGCATCTGCGGAAAGTCTTCGAGATCCTGCGGGAGAACAAGTTCTACGTGAAGCTGTCGAAGAGCAACTTCACCCTGAAGAAGGTGCAGTTTTTCGGGCACATGGTGAGTGCCGAGGGCGTACACGTGGAACCGCGAAAAAATCAAAGCCGTTAAGAAGCGGAAAGTACCGGAGAACGTGAAGGAGTTGCAGCAGTTCCTTGGCTTTGCCAACTACTACAACAGGTTTGTGCCGCAGTACGCTAAGATAGCAGCGCCACTGACCGACCTACTGAAAAAGGATACACCCTTCAAATGGGATACTCCTCATCAGCAAGCCATGGAGCAGCTACAGACAGCACTGACCACAGCGCCAGTACTCATCCTACCGGACCCAGACAAGGACTACGTGGTGGAAGCAGACGCTAGTGACCAGGCAGTCGGAGCAGTACTGATGCAGGATCACGGACGCGGTTTGCAGCCCATCGCCTACCTCAGTAAGAAGCTACACGGAGCAGAACTGAACTATTCCATTCACGACAAGGAAGCCTTAGCCATAGTTGTAGCCTTCAAGGCGTAGAGGTGTTACCTAGAGGGAGCGAAGACCACAGTCTACACTGACCACTGCAGTCTCAAATACTTGGAGTCGCAACTGATGCTCTCACGACGACAGGTGCGGTGGGTGGACTTCTTGGAGACCCACTTCCACTACGACATTGTCTACAAGCCCGGGCTACACAACAAAGCAGACGCGTTGAGCCGCCCCGGTCATGTAGCAGGCATCCAGCTCAACGGGATGAACCCTCTGCTCAAGGGTCTATTCCAACATGGGTACTCCGTGGACGCAGAGATAGCAATGGCGGAGAAACAGAAGCTGTTATAGTGGGAGAAAGACTTAGCTGTAAGGAAGGGCACATGAAAGATTTGGGTACCGAACTACGCCCCGCTACGGCAGATCCTACTTGAGGAGTTTCGCGACGTTCTATACGCGGGACATTTCAGGAGTAACAAGACGTTAGCAGGGATAGCGAAGTATTACTACTGGCCCCGGATGGCAGCAGACATGCAGCAGTTCGTCACCTCATGCGACACGTGCCAGCAGATGAAGAGTAGCAAGCAGAAAAAGGCAGGGTTACTTCAGCCTCTACCCGTACCGGAGCAGCCATGGCAAGTCGTTAGCCTCGACCTCACGAGGGCATGACTCTATCCTCGTAGTGATCGATAAGTTCTCCAAAATGGGTCACTTCATCCCGACCAACGCCACGGCTACAGCTGAAGCAACTGCTCGACTCTTCTTCGACCGCATCATCACCATCCACGGCATCCCCGCTACACTCATCTCAGACAGAGACCCAAAATTTACGAGTAAGTTCTGGAAGGAGCTCATGGGACTGTTGAGGACTCAGCTTGCAATGTCTTCAGCATACCATCCCCAGACTGACGGACAGACAGAGCGACTCAATCAAGTGGTTGAACAGCGCACAACTTGCAAAGACGACATCAGCCACTGGGATATACTGTTACCGACCCTAGAGTTCGCTTACAACAACGCTGCGGCCACAGGGAAAACTCCTTTCTTCCTGTGTTACGGATGGGAACCACTCACCCCACAGCAGCCAACCACACCGGCACATGTCCAAGCCGCACACGACTTCGTCACCACCATGCAGCAGCTATGGGAGAAGACTTAGCGACGTCTCACCACGATGCAAAACTCCCAGAAGCAGTATGCCGATCGCCAGCGACGAGATCACTCAGTAGCAGTCGGAGATCAGGTGCTTCTTGACACGCGCAACTTGAACCTGTCTCACCTACCATCCAAACTCCGGCCTCGCTTCTGTGGTCCATTTCTCGTGGAGGCACAGGTGACACCAGTAACATTCCGCTTGCGCTTACCAGATACGTGGAAGCTTCACAATGCTTTCCATGTTCAGCTACTGAAGCCCTACAAGGACCCCAACCAACAGTTCCAGGGACGGCAGCTACCGCCGCCACCACCTGTACTAGTACAGGATGAGCCAGAGTACGAGATAGAGAGCGTTCTCACTCATTGGCGTCGCGGCGGCAAGACCCTTGAGTTCCTGATACGCTGGAAGGGATACGACCCCTCTGAGGACAATTGGGTTGCAGAAGCTGATATGGGCAACGCACGCCGTGCTCTCAAGGACTATCTTGTCAAGCAGGGTGTATCTCACGCCACCCAGCTTTGAGGGGGGACGTGTGAGAGTACGACGGCTTATGCTGGCTTTGCTAGCTTGCCTAGACTTTATTATGCTATTGCTAGCGTTGGTTTATTTTATCATGCATAGATATGCTTGATTTCCTAGGTTAGGTGCATTCCTATATGTTATTATAGTTATAGCACCGAACCAGGTTACGTGTACCGAACTCAAGCCTTTTCGGTTGCCACTGATTTTCTTTCTACTGAGCTCGGGAAGGTTCTGTTTGGGACGCTTCGCGACCCTCAGAACATTCGCGTAACACCTGGGTTACCTGCCTTGTGTCGAGCCTATATATAGCCTCGTGTTGTACCCAGGTGAATCATTCAGTTCAGAACTTCTTTCCCGAACTCGATCCTCGATCCTCACAGTTGAGGTGGCCTAGAATTTGCAAAGAAAGTCGGGATGACGTTGGGGTTGGTAGACGTGCCAGGGTTTCTGTCGCCTCTTCCAGCGTCGGGGTTCACGGCTATTAGTCTAGTATGCTATGAGAAAGCAGCCGGAAGATATGGAGGTGTGGTTTACGAGGGCCTTTTAAAAAAACGCGCAAGGTTTCTC